TTGTAAGTAGACTATTTTTGTACAATTGTTAAATGAAAACATGTATCATTTTGTTTGTCTAGAAATAGGCTTCCCAAATGTAGATTCTAGTCACTCTCATGTTTGGCAGTCATAGCTTCCCAATTGATCTTCTAATTTACAGGCTCTGACCTAAAAAATAATGTTCAGAAGTAAACTATAAAAAGTAAAAAAAAAGAAAAATGTTTCAAAATTGTTTTTGTCTTCTCTGATCTTGATCATTTCATGTTTAAACCTACTAATGTGCTACATTCTTCACAACAAAAAACTATCTCCATATTGAACAATGCACTTAAGACAACTGCTTCCCACATCTAGGTCATCCTCATGCTCATTTGGGAGTGAGTGAACTAAGAACAGGCTAAAAGGAGAAAATAATTTTGAAACTAGTTATTTTTTTATAATAATTCTTCTAGTTTATTTCTGAATGCTTGTCTCAAGGACAGAATCTATAAATTAGATCAGTTGGGAAGCTACTATTGTTAAACATGCAGGTGCATAGGACCTACATCTGAGAGGCAGATTTTTGAACAAAGACATGATGGACTTTGGTGCCTTCACTTTCCACATTCCCTTATGAAGAAACGTTCCCTCTCTCCATCCTTATGCATCACACTCTTACACGCTCCAACACCAAATGTCATCTCCTCTATAAATCTCAGATTTATTACACATATCCAGTGTCAACAAGCATACTTATACTACAGATGGACCTACAAAGTAAATGGGTCCGTACAAGGGTAGACATCATTCATGGCGGGAGATTTCAAGGTCATCTAGAGCAGTGATCCCAAGTTCTAATGGGGATGTGAATAACTTACGGGTGATATCAAAATACAGATTCCAAATCAGTCATCTGGGTGGGGACTGTGATTTTGCATTTCACACAAACTTCCAAAAGGCATCCCTGGTGGGGACCTAGGCTGAGGAGCAAGGGTCTAGCATCCTTCTAATTTTGTGAATAAAGACTATGAAGATCAGGGTGACGACATGACTCTCCTAAGCTTTGCTTTTGGGTTAGGTAGTAAAGGATCTAGATTATTAATTAATTAACCTAATAAACAAAAGCGTAACTTAGACATTGAGGAGTGAGACAGAAAAATAAAGAATGCAAAGAAAAGATGTTCATTAACAATAAATGCTAAATAATGTTTTCCACAAATTTCTTAAAGCTAATATGTTCCAGCATCTGTATGACTCATGGCCAACCAATACATGTAACTGTTTTCTCCTCAAAGTGCTTATGGCCATTGCTAATGTGTTTAGTAATGTCCAGTTGTTCCTTTAAAAGGTAGTAAAGGAGCCGCCATGTAAATATAGACTCATAGTAACAGTTAAGAGTAGTCAAAATATAGTGAATGCATACTTGGCAGTCACTAGCCGCCTATTTAACGTGATCTTTGTAAATACTAGTAGTTTGGTTTTATTGTTATCCTACTAGTTTTACAGAAGAGAAAATTGAAATGCAAAAAAAAAAAAAAAAACTAGAGAAGCTGCCCAAGTGAAGCTGTGAGTATCAATTCTAGAGCTCCAACTCCAGAGCCACAGTACTTTGGACCTGCTGCTTTCAGAGACTTTTTTAAAATAAATCTCTATCATATCTGATTGTGAGGTTCAAAGATGATATTTTAATTTATATTCAAATAAAAATCACCGGTCAAATTTATTTCTAAAATATATTAGTATAAAATGATTCTATCTTAAATCGTATAAGTAAAGTGAATAATCATTATTTTCCATTTACAAAAATCACAAATCAATTTGTGATGAGTGAAAATTAGAGAATAAATAGAATATCTATTACTATATTATGAAATGGCACTTTTAGATTTTACTTTCAATTATGATGAATTTTTCAGATAGCATGAGCTAATAATATTTTCTTGAAGCATGTGATGATTATGTCCCACCTTTGAAAACCTGTATATATTGCTCTATATTTGAGTGTTGTTGGTATTAATTTTAAGGTGGCCTATATGGGACTTTATGCATATAACTTAACAAAAGTTAAAGAAAAAACGAGAAAGAAATAATTTGAGTTACTGGTTTTAATAAATGACCTTTTGAGTTTTTGAATTAAATAGGTTGAACTGTTTTATAAGAAAAAGACTAAGTTTTTTTAGCAGTTTACTTATAGAGTTTAATAAGTAATTTTAATTTCTTAAATTTGGAAAATGATTTTGAATATACAAAAGTATTTTTCATAAACATGCAATATTTTAGCAAAAATAGCTACATTTATATAGTGTCTGAATCATGGGAGATTTGAGATACTGATTGAATGATATAATGGGTCTATTATACAGCACAAATTTGTGACAACAAATTTACCCATTCATCGATGAAGCATTAGATAGAACATTTGAGTAGAGGATAACCCTGTTCACTTACCCAGTTGCAATTCTTTCTGCCATAAATAGAAACTCCATAAGCTTTGTCTTTTCACTTGATTTTTCCCAGCTTTTTATTCCATATTTTCTACATTTTAAGATATTATATTTTTACTGCAATCATTCTATCTCCCTCTCTTCTTTTTTATTTGGTTATCTTATTAGTTTATAGTACACTTCTTTCTCTTAACATGCATTACTCTCTGACTAGCTCAGGCTTCCAAAGTCTTTGAAACTAGTTCTCAGTATTTTCCTGTTTCCTTTTATCCTTTCATTCTGATGCTGTCCTGACCTAGTTACCTTCAACTTGCCTTTTGATATTTTACATTTTCTCTACCTCACTCTTCCTCATAATGAGCTCCATACTAAAAACATTTTGCTATTAAGTAATTATTTCTGTGTGCATGAATCTTCTGGGGGAAGGTGATGTTAATTTTCTCTCTTGAGTACTCAAGGCTAGCTGAAAAAGACATGGCCTTTTGTTGGATCTTTCTAAATGGATGGTTATAGATTTTTTCAACCATTTGTTTTAAAGAAATAAATTGTAAAGTTATTGGATGGAACAGTAAAGGGGTATTTCTTTTGGTTTTAAATATGCTAATCTAGGTCTTTTGTCTTCCTGAGAACTCTTAGCAAATGCAAATATCCAATGAGTTAAAATAACGTGCAAAAAAACTTCTTAAAAGGAATCAAGCAGAATACAATGACAGAAATTACTTTAAGAAAAATTAAGTAATATAAAGCATGTTATAATTGAAAATTTAAAATTCGATCAGAATAAGAAAATAAAAAATCTGCCTGGCTGTTTCTCAGATGAAAATAATAGGCAAATAAAAAGCCAGCTGAAAATATAACAGGGAATAATTTCACCCAAAGATAAATTGGATTTTTAAAGTGTCATAAAGACGTCCTTCTTTGAGAGATTAGTGTTTTCTTACTGACTGCGATACTTTCTTCTTTAAAATCTTAGATTTTCAAAGACTTTGATGTTTTAAATTATACGGGTAAGAGTGAAATATGCCACCCTTCCAGAAGTACCTAATTTAATTTGAAACACACATACAATCTCACTTTCTGACTCAGATTCCGAGCTTCAGATAAGAAGTCGCTGGACACAAAATTCCTCATGTATTTTAAATTTGTAGTTCTAAGGAAAAGAGCCTTTCAATCCAGTTTATAGTCCAGTTATGATGTTGACCTTTACGTGGAGCCTTGCTTTGGACTGAATATATAAAAATCCTCCTCCCTATAAATTTTACCTAAACTCCACCCTTCCTCCAAATCTACAATAACTCTCCCTTTTATTTTTGCTAATGAGACACCCATGACCCTTGTCATTTGTAAGCTTTGTTATTGCAGTGATCCCATAAGCTTGACTTGGCTGGACTACAGGTGTGTCCCTAGTGGTCTTTGGCTGATTGAGCTAGGACAGAACTAAAGGAAGAGTGAAAATACATGCCACGGCCCATCTATAAAAACATGTTCTGAACTCTAAAAAATTCTTCATGTCAAATCACTCGCAAGCTTACAAATCGTGCTAGACAATTCGATTTTATCTTCAAAGTACATCACCATCTATATGTTGATAGCATTCACTAAGAATTAAAGCACTGTACAAAGTAATTTAAGGGGTAGAATATATATGACAGAATTTCTAGTTCTCCTTTGTGGTTCTCTCTAACATGTTTAGTTTAAGTTTGTTCATGTCAAATGGTCTGAAAATATCTTATACAGTATCACCACCAATGCTTAATAAAACTACACTTATTTCATAAGAATTGGAAACATGATGAAAACTAATTAATCAGAATAGAAACTGAATGCTTCCCAGTTGGAAGAAGTTTTAAGAGGGTCTTCAAGCAGAAGAGGATTTAAAGAAGAGTATTTTCAGTGGGAAGAATAATATTCTTTAGAAAAATGAGGTAGTAGTTAAGTTTTTGGCCTGAGTGAATGGTTCAGGTTAAAGAGCCATAAAAACTAGGAATCTTTAAAATAATATGGAAATCAAGAGAAGAAAGTTTTAATTTAATACATAAATTTAAAAAGTATCATGTTCAGACATTGGCCAAAAGTATCAAAACTACTGTATACCACAGTCATTTCATAAATTTTTCAGTGTCATAGCTTTGCAATGTCCTATTCTTAAGAATAGAGAGTTGAATTTTCAACAATGAAAACATTTAAATCTTTGTATTACAAAAATTTATGTTGATATTGGAAAAATTTAAAGAAAAAACCCACTGTGGAGTAATTTTTGGTAAACATTATGAAAGGCAATTCAGGGACATGTATAGAAGCCCCCTCTGCACTGAACAATGATGCCAGTACCAGGTTCTGGTACAATTGCTAACAATTTTTTTTTACTGTAATTTATTCTTCGTGTTTGTATTCATGAAAATCATCTGTAGCAGGAATGGAAAATAGGTTTCTCTCAAGTGTAACTTCATTTAATTGGAAATGACTTATATCAGAAGGACTGTACACAGATGAATTCTCTAGAGGAGGAGGAATGGGGTGCACCAGTTTTCCATCAGATGTCAGCATAATGACTACTCTGAGGCAAGCTACAGGGTGGCATGAGAAAATGAGCGTTGATAGGATGCCCTACAGCTGTTCCTTTTAAGGCCACACCAACCTACCAAGTAGAGGGGATATTTATATCATAATTACTCTACTACCTTTCGATCATAGCCTTTTTAAAACCTCAATCACTTACGCATCAACAAATTTACTTTCCTAAATTATTCCAGGTGAAGTGACAATTTTTTTACATTTTCAACTATTATCAACATTGATATATACTTTTGTTTTTAAACTGAATTTATATATTTTACATAATTAATATACAGAGTAATGCATTATATGACAACACCACAATTTACTAATGTTTTCTTGTCAATGGACAATTAATTTGCCTCCAAATTTTCAGGATCAGAATCTATTTTGCAAAAACAAGACTAGGCCACTTCTCTCTGAAGACAGTGATAGTAAACTCTTGAAACTGAGGATGAAGGAGTTAAATTTCCCTGGATTAGGATGAAACTGTGCCTGCACCCACAAGGTTAACATGGGAAGCAAAGTAACCCAAGTTTCTACTCTTGCTTTGCAGAACAGCATGGGGACTGCTGATAAGAGAGTAGCTTGCTGAGGGCTCTCTGCCTAAGCATCATGCAGGAGCATTGAGAAGCTAGAATGACTGATTGTAAACCTCACACATCATAAGAAATATGAAAAACAGTTACCCCTGTGAAAAGGACTCTTAGAACTTCAGCCCCAAAGGCCACATGCTCCCCTCCCTGTTTTATGCTCACAATGTGCTTTGGGAAAATGCTTAGAACTGCAGGTAGGCAAACTAATCTGTAACCAGTAGAAAGAATAACTTGTTAGCAGAAAATTTGTGTCCTCTACCGAAACTGTTCCTTCTGTTCCAGATAAAGAAGTAACTGAGGCTTTCTTAGATTCCCCAGGAACGTCACATTCAGCAGATCTGCTATGGAGAAGCGCACAATGTTCTGTGGTCATCCAGCACATGACATTTCTGAGCCCCCCTCCCCAATCCCACTTGCCTTATATAAGTCATTTGCAAATCACTTCCCTTTAAGATGGCTTTTTTAGGGTAACAGTCTGCCATCTTCTGATATGCTAGCTTATCACTTGTTAAAGGTCTTTCCCTACCACCACCTGCTTGGCCTTTTATCTTGCAGTGAGCAGATCGAACTCGGTATCACTTTCAGGGAAATACACCTAGAAAGATTAATTATCGAGTGTGACTGTCTTCAACTTCTCTAAATAGTGCCAATTTTTCTTCAAAGCATTTAAAGAAATTTACGTTCTGGGTCTTTCTCATCTCTACACATTGTTACCAACACTTGCTAGTATCAGTACTTGAAAGTTTTATTCATCTGATGGCTATAAAGGGGTATCTAATTTAGATTTTAATATGTTTTTTCTTGATTATTAGGGAATTGACCACCATTTCAATGTTTATTTGCTTTCTAGCTTTGTTTCATGAATTTTACATTTATATACTTTGTTTTTAATTAAATTAATTAAATTATTTGTCCTATTAAATTACTTTATAGTAAGCATTACATATTCTAGTAAGTGATTATTTGTTGTATGTTTTGTGAACATATTCTCTGAGACCATCCTTCCTTTTTTCAACATTGTTTATTGTGTTATTTGTCCTGGAAAAAATTTTACACTTTTGTGCAGTCATATTTACAAATAATTTCCTTTAGGACTTTTGCTTTTAGGATTTGTTTAAGTACTTCTTTCCTGACCATGTCAGATAAATAGTCTATTTTCTTTTAAATATTTTAAAGTTCTGATTATCAAATTTAGATTTCTAATTCATTTGAATTTTTTCCATGTACAGTGTAAGGTGGACTTTTAAAATATTTAATTCTAGTTGTGTCAACATCCTTTTCTTATCTAGTTTTTCCTTTGCCACTGATGTGTAATGCCGCCTCTGTCACATTATAGTCCACATTTTTGTATGGGTTGGCTTCTCTTTCTGTGGTTCATTTGCTATTGTAGGGGAGAAAAAATTTTCTTCCCTTCTTGGTTCTTTTGTCTGGTCTAATAATTAGATTGACATAAGAAAGATTAACAAGAGAAAAAAATTAACTTTGTACACATAACTCCAAAAATATGAGGTTCCCCAACAGTTAGGCAATTGAGTTTTGTATGCCATACTGAGCTAAAGAGAAGGGTAGGGGTCTGGGACTTCAAAGAAATAGAAAGACAATTCACTGGAAGATGGGAAGAGCAAAAGTTTGGAAAACAAATGTTTGCCATGCCATGCAGATAAGTCTCCGCGATGTGAAAAGATATCTCTTGTAATAGTTCCCTTCCTGTTAGAGGCCCCCCTATCTAAAACCTTTTAGGCAGTTAAAGAGGAGGTAAAAATGTCTCCTTGAGTCTGCTGGGGCTTCATTTTTTTCAGCTGGAAATAATCCACATACCAAAGAGGCCCTTTCTGGAGAGGCCTGCCTTGAACCCCGTCACTATCACTAGACAACCACATTCTTTTAATGGCAATGATATTAGAGAAATCTTGGTATCTGTAAGGCCTTTACTTTCTGCTTCTTTTAAAAAAAATAATTATTTTCATTACTCTTCATTTATTAACATAAATTTAAAACAAAAATTTAAATTTTATATTAAACTCTTTTAAGATTTCAAAAATATTGAATGATAATTTGGGGAGATCTGACACATTATTGAGTCTTGTTATCCCTGTACATGGTATATAATACAAGTAGTCTCATTTTCTTTGTATCCTTAAATAACTTGAAAAATATTTTCCAAAAAATAGTAGTATCCTGAAGAGAGTCGTTTCCTGATACCTTACAGTTTATAATGGAACTGTGAATATGTAATGCATCTTTAGTCCCTTTTTATCCAGGACTCTCACTTGGCCACTCTCCCATAAAATGTTGAATTTTGAACAGTCCAAGTCAGGCTCTTGTACAATATACCACACTCTGGATTTCTCCAATGGTTTTCCATATGGTATTATTAAATTTGTTCTTCTATCGTCTGTTTTTCTGAAAACTGGAAGTTAGAGCTGAGGTTTGATTAAAATCAAGTTAACCATATTTGAAAACAGTACTTCAAAGGTGATATGTTCTACGTATTGCAACATCAGGAAGCACATAATGACAAGTAGTTTTACTGTTAATGATACCAATTTTGATCATTCAATTAGGAAAATTACCATTGATTCCTTCCATTGTGAATATGGAGTAGATAATTCAAGGTTAAAATTTGTGTAGAGGAGTAAAAGTATATTTTTCCTCTACTCTTTCAAGTTCTTGATTAGGAGCCATATAGCAAAAGACAGATTAACAGGAAAAAGGCATACACACGTACTTAATATAAGTTTTATGTCACATAAGAGTCTTCATAAGGAAATTAAGACCCCAAAACATGATTAAACTTGAGTGTTTTTATGTTAAGCTTGACAAAGAGTGAAAAGTCTTGGAAATATATGATATTAATGAAGAGTATAAACTAGGTGTAGTAAACTGGGAGGAAACTTAACAAGGACTGCTCATTCAGATTCCTCTCTGTTTCTCCTAGTCTTTAGAGATAAAGATGGTCCTTCTCTCTGGGTATAGGGAAGGCATCTCTCACAAGATCATTTATAACCTGCTTCAGGGGAAACGTTTAAACATTCCACTTCTTCCTGCACCTGCCTTTTCTCAAATCGCTTCAGCTTTACTTTTTCAATATGCCAATGAGCCATACCTGGCGTAGTATGTCCTGAATCTTTTCATTTCCCCATGTGAAATTTCTCTAAGTCTCATGGTCCAGAAACTGAGTTGGTAGAGTGTCCCCTAAACCATTGAATCAGTCTCAGTCCCGAGAATTATTCAGTCTAGACAAATAATTGTGTCTCATTTCAGGAGGCAGTGTTATAGGTGGGAGGAGGTACCTAACCTAAGTTAGATCTCTATGTGGCGAGAATAATTAGGCGTGTAATGAGGGATATTTCTGTTGAAACAAAAGAAAAACAAAGGTTAATATTTGAAACAAACTGTAAACTCAGTTTTTGAGTCCAGAAAGCAGTCAGTCAAGAAGATTTCTAAGTGTTAGGGTGGAAGTATCCTCAGGTAGAGCAAGAACAGGCAGTGGCAATCTGAGAGATTTTCCTGGTTTGCAGTTTGAATGTCTAGTATGTCATTATGTGTTCTGGTAACTTTTTTATTGAGATATAGTTGACATACAACATATTAGTTTAAGGTGTACAATAAAATAATTCATTATATGTATATATTGAGAAATGATTACAGTAAGTCTAGTTAACTTTTGGAGTGGCCCAGAGAGAAATAGGCATAAACATTGTCCAAATATAAGCTGTTGTGGTGATTCACTTGAAGTTTGTATCAAGTTGTTCAACTTCAGCTTGCAGGGCTTTGGGAAAATTCAGTTTTAATTTTTTGCGATTCCAAGTCAGAAAGGTAGGAGAAAAATTGGAAATGTTAGTTTGGAGAGTTGTAGCCAGACATTGGAGGGAACTAGAAGAATTCAGGATACAGTCCAGTTTATAGGTAGATAACATATGTCAAAGACAGTAAATAGGTCTAGAATTTAATATGCACAAGGGTGCGATATAGTTTTTTTACTGAAACATAATTTTTCTTTCTACAGTCACGCTCATTTCTGTCCAAGATAGTCAAGTTAAGACTAATTTGCTTGTAAAATAATGCTAGTATCAGTAAAGTTGGTCTGATTATTTACATAAGTACAGCAAGTATAGTGATGATCATATACACTATTTTTGAGTTTGCTTTGCTGGAACTTTTTATAAAGAATACTAGATTGAACTTTTAAAAGACTCTCCAAGCTAGGATGTCAAGCTGAGGACTCACCATCAGCCTTTGCCTGCAATATATATAGATTAGAGTGAAGTAATCTCTTCTTGAGGTCCCCAAAATATCCTGAGTTTCCTGGGCCTGCCACAAAGTGGTCGTCCCTGCTCACCTGTATGGTTTGGAACCCTGCAAGTAAAATGCAGGCCAGCTTTTCCAAGGAGCCTTTAAAATCATTTAGTCCTTAAAGTCAACCTTAGTTCTGTAAAGTTGTCTGGTCATATCTGACTCTATGTATCATTCTTAAATAAGACATTTCAGTCAAAGCCTTGATAATATAACCAATGTTTCCAAGTGTGTCTTGTTACATTCTTATTAAACTTATGCAAGTAACTTTGTTGACATGAATATAAAAATACTAAAAGTTTTTAAATTCTGGAATGATAAGATAGGGAGAAAGTAAATGGCCTTATCTTTGTTCACAAAGGTACACTTTACCAAAATGCTGTATGTTGTAGATAACTTAAGAGAGAGGAGAAAAATGTTTCCTTACATCTCGGAAAAAATCTATTAAAGGACCATAAATCTTTCAAACAAAAGTTATAAAAAAATTATAATTGTCACTATCAGTTTAGTTGGTTCCATGTAATTAATTCTTATTCTGCTTAATTTTGGATTAGCAATTTTATAAATCCATCAGCTTCTTCAGCAGTTTTGGAAATTCTTACTCAGATCAGAGGTTGGTCTCAAAAGTTATTCAAGTGATGCCTCATGGAGCATTCTTGCCTATAGCTTATTGTAAACACTTTCAGAGAAGAATCAAAGGAAAACAACCACCACCTGTGTATAACAAATACTTAAAATGGTCGTGGTTACATATATGAGGAGCATTCATTTGATAAGAAATTTAGTTATTTTTTGTCATACAATATTTTAACAATAACCAGACAATGAGGGTATTGATAAGTTTATATGAACTTCATTCAATTTTTGGAATAACTTTGTTAATAACATATCGATTTATGTATCACCTGAGAAGGGTTATTATTACTTCTTATTTGACAATAGTTACACATAAATTAATAAACCAAATAAAAATAATTAGTTTAACATCTCTCTTTTATGAAGCGAGAGACAAATTCTTTAAGATATTTCAGGAGCCCTCTTGGAAATCTCAATGTTAGATCAAGGTCAAAATGAATCCATTTAGAATTTGATATTGGAAAGTTGTCAAAAATATCAAAAGGTTTGAATATTTGATTAAGCAGAATCACTGATCATTATGAAACAACACTTAATTATTTAACCAAAGTAACAATGAAATATTTTAAAGGTAAATAGAGAAGATTACGTAGTTGTGAACAAAACTTAGCTTTTTTTAATTTTGAGAAGGCTTAATTTTCTTATGTCATCATAGACCTGATAAAGGCAACATGAAGAGCAGCAAGTTATTCAAAGACACAAACCTTGGTTTCCCAGACAGATTGCTGGAAAAATAGAGAAAGCCTCTGTTTATTTTACAATTTCTTATTAAAAGCAAACAGTTAACAAGAAAATTTTGTCATTTTAACAGATAAAGAAAATTAAATTGTAGTTTTGTGTAAGCACACTATTTATACAAAGCTTATTTTTAAATCCTTTATAATAAATTTATTCACTTTCAGTCAGTTTGACCACCAAAGATAATGTTCTCTCTTCTTTCTCTCTAATCCCAATGTTCTGTATCCATTTAGTTTTTGTCCCTTATTCTCCTCTTTCTTTTTTAATTCTTAAAATCTTTAAAGTAAACCTTAAATGAGGAGAAAATTTGGAGAACTACTCCAAAATGGAGTAGAATGAGTCTTTTAAAAAGTATGCTATTTTTTCAGGTGCATCATATTATTGAGAATTTGTTTTAATTTAGTTACATTAATTTAACTAATTTAATTAATTTTCTTTACCTATATTACCTATGTTTTCTCTTTAGCGTGGGTAGTATTTCTGAAGAGTCATGGAATGTGTTTTATTTATTTTTTTTACATTCAAGAATATATCTTTTTTATTTTTATTTGGTAATTTTTTGTGTTATCAGTCCTTTGCAAGTGTAAAAAACTGACTATAAGATCCAGTTATGGGTTGAAGCTTGTCCACTGGCAAACTACACTCGAGTGCATGGTGAAGGGCAGTTGACTAAACTGAACACCTTTTTAATTCCACAAAAGATGAATCAAATTTTGGGGAACTAGATATAATTCTATGATCCCTAAAATATCCCAGACAGATCACTTGACTTTTAAGAAGATATTCATCTAATTGTGCATCAGAGAAACATGCCACTATGTGTGAGGGCTGGAAAATGTGTCCAAACTAGGGGAATTTTAAAAATATAGAACATCTTACAAACATAGAACAACAAATAAAAAGCCCTCTTTACCCTGGCATCAAACATAACTCATGGTTAATTATAAAGTGAAAACAAGCCACAGTACAGTGTATATACTATGTTAGATTTCTGTGTAGGAAGTGCTGTAAATTCCTAGTTATTTTATATGCCTTCTGTCCCCACCCTCCCACAAAGAAAAGTCAGAAGAATATCAACAAACACTGGGTCACTATACAAGAAACTATTTTAAATTGTTTACCTATGTAGGCAAAGGAAAACAATGTAGAAGGGAAAAGTGAAGTATTGTAATTTTTAAATATTTACCTTCTTACATTGTCATGATTTTTGAAACACATGACAAAATTTATTCTCAGAAGTGAAATAAATTAACTCAATTAAATTCCATATAATCACATGGATTATGTGAAATTGTAATTTAGCAAAATTTGAGTGAAAGTTACATGATGATTAGAAGAGATAGTTTAGAGAGCCTTGAGTTTTTCCAGTGAGTTCAGGTATGTTACTTAAGGAAAGTGATACCTGAGGGGAGTTCCTGAAGTAAGAGTACCACACTCTGATGGCTATAGGAAGGAGAGCCCAGTAGAGTGAGCAACATGTGTCATGGCATGTGGGGAGAAGTGCATGGTGAATGTATCATGATAAGACAGTCTACTAAGGCTTTAACTTTGATGAGAGAAGGAACAAGGAAATAAGAGAAGGCCAGGCCATACAGGGCTTCTAGGTTAGGATGAGTGATTTAGTTTATTTTCTTAAAGCCAGATAAAGACATCAATCTATTTTAAGCAGGAAGAAATCATGTTCTGATTGACTTTGTAAAATGTCTACTTTAGTTGTGGTATGCAAACCTCATTGGACCATGTCCTGAGAGGAAGGGGTCAGATCCTTGAGGGAGATACTGTGATATCCAAATACGGACATATGTAGGTCAGATTCTGGTATTGTATAGGAGATAAAAATATGTTGATGCATTTGAAAAGAATTTGGTAGCAAAAATAGGAATTTGTGACGAATTGGTCATGAATAGTGATGGACTGTGAGATGAAGGGAAAGTTTTAGGGTGCTAGACTTTCCCACTTAAATGAGGGACTCCTACACAATATAGTTGCCTTTTTCTCCTTGAAGATGGTGGAATAAAGCTGACTTCAGTTTTTTACATTTACAATTCTACAATTCAAGCCTGTTTTCACAAGGAAATAATCAGTGAGGCAAATAGATACTTTACTTGGAAATTAAGTACAATAATATTTCAAAAGAATACTTGAGTGCAAAATTAATATTTAAAATATAAATGGTAACATTTATTTTAGCAAATTTACACCACAGAAAAAGGTACAGCCAAAAAAATAAGATATTTACAAACAATTTCTCAATTCAAGATGTTGCCTAAATACTTATTACAGTTATCTTTATATACATCAGTATCTCAGATTGTAAAACTATACATATAAATGCATTGTCAAGATTTAGAAAACAACTTGTAAGTGAATGTTGTTCTCTCTGTAAAATATTTCTTATCTCCTTTACATTCTGTGAAATTTCATCAACTATTCGTGCAGTTTTATAATCAAAATAAAATTAAATATTATATGACCTTCATTTTAACTTTTTCTCATTGAGATTTTTACATTGACTCATGTTTGCATTTTGTTTTATGTTATTACACTGTTTTATGAAGATCACCAGCAGCAAGATTCTGAAACTCCATAATAATCTGCTTTAATGCAACCTGTCTAAAGGAAATGTAATATTTATTACTATTACCAAGTTTTCCCCTTTCCAATGAAACCACCCCAAAGTTTCATTGGATATTAAGACCAAAGAGTTTACAAACATATAACAATGAGATGAAAATAAATGAATGGGAGAGGGAAAATTATTTTGTATATCTTTAAATTGTAATTTGAGTAGGCAACATAGTCTTTCCTTTGTTAACAACTCAAAACCACAGGCAGCTCCTGGCTTGCCCTAGCAAAAAAAAAAAAAAAAAAAAAAATCCAATTACATGTTTTAGATAAATGAAATGATAAAGGGAGGAAAACTTATATAGATCCTCTGCCAAAGAGTTGTATTTGGAAAGATTACTATCACTAACGGGATAAGAAAATCTCTCTTCAGTTGTAAGGGATTAAGAACACGTTACCCCCAAATATGCTGCTTTGGCATATTGACTATTTTGAGCTGAAGACACTTGAGAAATAGTAGAAGCAGGAAGGGATCCCTGACCTCTTCCTTTCTACCCAAAAACAGGTCAGATCATTTCCCATTGGACTGTGCTGCCCCTGTCCCAGGAAGAGAACATTCTTATTACTGCAGACTGGATATCGATGGCAAAATGGACCTGCAAAATAAACCTAATAAAATAACCCTTACCTTGCTTTTGTTTCCCCATATATTTTCTAGGCACTCTCCCACAATTTACTGCCTCTTGATCAAGCCCTTTTGTCTTGTCACAAACCTGCAATTTATTGTTCTTCGTTTAAAAAGTATATAAACTTTTGAGATCAGCTGCTTCTTCGGATTAAATTTTCTTTTGAAGACACATACGTGCACACAAACATTAAAATAAAATGTGTATGCTTTTCTTCTCTTACTCTGTCTTATGTTAATTTAATACTAAGGGTTAGCCCCAAAACCTAAGAGGGTAGGAGGAATTTTTCTTCCCCTACAGTAGGTAGGCATACAGATTTAACTGTTGGGTGAAATAGTGCTTCACTATTATTGTTAGAGTTTGGATATAGCTTTTGATATTCTGATGGAACAAGAATGGTTAGAAAAAATGTTGATCATATGCCTTAAGTTTTTCACTTCCATGGTAGACAATTTTGGCAATAGTTTCTATAAATGTGTACTGCTTTAAAAATAAAAATAATTAGACATTTAGGAAAAAATATTTTTGTTTTAACATATACTAAAAAATAACACATCAAAGTTTAAAGTAAGAAAAATTTCAAGCATTGGCATTTGCAAGAAACGCCTGATTTCATTATATATTCTTGCTGTAAAAACAGATTGTTTAAAACCTTGGTTGCCTAAAATAGTGCTTCTAGTGATTTAATCTGCATACCGGTCAACTGGGGAACTTTTTATAATGCATAGTCTCATTCAAGACGCTTGGGGTGAACTTTCGCATTTCTAACAAGCTCAGATTACTCTGAGGGTTCTTGTCCACTGACTACACTTTGAGGAGCAAGAGTTTAGGAGGCAACCAAGTGGAGAATACTTATCCTAAAAAGATTTGATAGGATTTATTTCTCCCAGTACTCTTGTCACTTTGTGTGTTATTAAACTGAACTGAAATAACTGAAAATCATAAAGCTACTTCATTAACACAGGAAGGTGAACATAGTAATGGAAAACCTTTTTACATTTCTTTTTTCTATTTTTTCCTCTCTGTCTCTGTGAATCGAATTAGTTCATGCTGAAATGATTGTCTTCTTGAATATTTCATAAGAATCTAAGAAGAGTTGATAGTCGTTTAACCATGTTAGATATCCCATTCTTGTACTGTCCAGTCCTAAGATTTTCTTTTTTTTTCCCCTCCACTTAATAACCTTGTTATCTATGCTAATATTTTGAAATCCATTGGTATTATCCAGAAAAATCCTTTATCCAAAATTTTTCTACTATTTTTCAAATAAAGTCTCCAGTTGTGTTTACATTCATAACGAAATCAACATCCATGCTTAAGAATAGTGCCTGGCTCATTATGTGTGTTTAATAAATGTTTATTGAGATAATTATTTCAAGGTTCAAAGTGATATGTTTATAATAGCCCATCTACCAGGTGGAGTAACACTGCTCCATTTAACAAAAACTATTTTTGTCCCATGATTACTGTTAAAGTGTAAATTATGAAAACATTCAAATGAAATATTATATGGGACTAAATCAGCAAATTTTCTGATTGTTAACGCCTTATGTTAAGGGATCTGTGTTATCTCTTTATCACTATGTCATTTCACTAAAGCATTCTTAAACACAGTAATTATAGAATATCTATTTCAGTAGAATTCAAATCAAAATGTGAAGTGCAGAGTGATGTCCATATTAGGTGGTATCAATTTTATAACATAATTTTCAATACTTACCATTTGCAAATGTGGCTTGGGAATCCATTCAAAATCGCTCATTTTTGTTGATCTGTCAAATATCCTGCATGTTTCTGTCCAAGAGCAAACTCTTTTGTGCTAGAACTTTCCTGAAAGCTTTGTTCACATCTTTGTTTCTCAAGGTGTATATGAGAGGATTTACAAATGGGGTGACCACACAGTAGAACACTGAGACCACTTTACCAATGGTGAAGTTGTACTTGGCTGGAGGGCGAACATAGGCAAAAATAATGGTGCCATAGTAGATGGTGACCACAGTGAGATGGGAGGCACAGGTGGAGAAAGTCTTTTTCCTAGCCTCCCTGGAAGACAGTCTAATTACTGTGACCACAATGTGGCCATAGGAAGACATAGTGAGAAGGAAAGAAGTTAGAATCACGATAGAGCTACATGTGTATCCCAAGGCCTCCACCAAGAATGTATCTGAGCAGGATAGTTTAAAAATGGGATCTGAGTCACAAAAGAAATGGTTGATCTTCTGGGGGCCACAAAAGTTTAAATGAGAGATGAGTATAGTAGGTAGGAGGGGGGCAATGAAGCCTCCAATCCAAGATCCAGCTGAAAAGCACAGGCACACTGGAATACTCATGAGGAGTGAGTAATGTAGAGGGCTGCAGACAGCCAGGTACCGGTCATAGGCCATGACTGCCAGCAGGATGCACTCTGTAGCTCCCATGGAGAAAAAGAAGTAGTACTGAGTTATACAACCAGAAATAGAGATGGTGACAACCTGTGAGAGGCAGGTGGCCAGCAATATAGGCACTGTGGCTGTGCTGTACCAGATCTCTAGGAAGGACAAATTTCCTAGGAAAATGTACATGGGTGTTTGGAGTGAGGAATCCATCAAAACAATGAAAATGATGAGGGTATTTCCCATGACAGAGAGCAGATATACAGTAAGAAACATCACAAACAATGTGAGCTGCAGATAGAGAACACCAGAAAACCCAAGAAAAATGAACTCAGTCACTGTTGTTTTGTTTGTTACATCCATATCTCATCTTCTCTGACCTGGAATGAACCAACAATGACCAAAGTATGGCAGATGAGCAAGAATGGAAAATTTTCATATTCCTTTATTTTGTGATGTTAATGGATCTCTAATAATAATAAAAATGAATGACTGACAAAAACATAATTGGCATCTTTATAAACATTTTACATGGATTGGCTCAATTGATTTACAAAATAAATCTTCAAAATAAACAGTCTAACAATCTACTTTAAAAATGAATAAACTAAGGGAGTAAATATCTTTTCCACAGTTACATCACTTTAAATGCTAGGGCAGATGGTACCCATTTAGGTTTTTTAAAAGACCACAGTTCAAGCTAATACATAAAATGTGGCTATTGGAAGAACATGACATTTTCCCATCACTAAGGATTTCACAACATGGAAATTAGAAGGTAGTAAAGAAATAAACATGCAGATCAGAGGCCTGTGGATAGAGCGTGGCTCTCAGAATGGAGCTACTGGGTCATACTAGTTGCCTCAGAAAGACAAAGTGTTGCCTACGATTTTAAATTTATGAGCCCTGTTATATGCCATCATTTAGGGTTTGGTGGGAGATTAGTACATGGGTAAATTTTATCTCCAGAAAACAAAACGGAGAGTAGGATAAAATTTATATGTGGAAACATTTTTTTCATAAATATTCTTTTAACTTTCCTAATCTTGGCTTGTTTTTAGAACTAGTGCACCCACCAGTTTTCCTACACTGGTTAGGGACAGTCAAGCAAATAATTTAAAGTCAGAAATCCATTCGTTCCTAATTGGACATATAGTTTGTTTCCATACCTACCTTGGCAATTTTGAAAGAGCGCTTGATATGAGATATACCCACTTACCAATTTTTAAGTGTACAATACAGTATTTATAACTATAGTTATGTTAAGGGTTCTTGCCAAAATAAAAAATATATAAATCCTCTTTTTAGAGGAACAAGGTTTTCCAATGGATGTATTCATGTACATATATGCTTTAGTGCCAAAATATCTAGATGATAAATACATAGTAGAAAAAAATTCTGAGCATCCATAATAAAAACTTTATGTATATGTAAAATGTATTTTTTATTATTTCTTAAGAAGTCCCTGCAGTAAAGATACATACAGACTTGACATCTTTCATATCGCAATGAAAAAAGTAGCTGAAAGAAACATGAAGGCAACTGGGTTCATGTCTACAAATTTCTGTGTTAAACATTTATGGAAGTTTTGAATCATAAAAGTCTATTGTAAAATTTATATAGGCTTTATGCCACAGCATTCATGCTTCCTGTGATACATTTTTGATACAATAGAATGATATGATATATGTATATAGATATATGTATATATCATGGAAATTATTAGTTAGACTTGGTTAAAGAAGGAAATTATGTTCACATGGTCAAGGGATATTATTATTTGTCCCACTAAAGCAACCTGTGGATATTAATCCCCTAAAAGTCCTAACATTTTTGCCATATTACTCTAAGTAGCAAAAATAAATCATGCTTTTCACAGACTACAGCTCTATTCAAAAAGATTTTGAAAAATATTATGACTAGCAATCAACCTAGAATTTATAATTTAAGAAAACCATTTGAAGGAAAGAACAGGTGCTAATTTTTTTTAAATATTTTTTTCTGAGTTTCATTCTCTGGTTCTATAAGAAAATTAACATTTTTATTATTCATGTAAGACCAAGGGTCCAAAGTATCTCTTCTTGTGATTATTAAATGGATATTGCATGACCATTTTTCTCCTAGAATTAACAAAAAGAAAACAAAAGCTATTTGGAAAGAATATAAGTATAACTATGACAGCACAATCAAGCCACCATCATCCCAAAGATAAAATCTGTTTTCTTTCTCTAAAAAATGTCGCAGTTACCTAATTCTGCCTTTTGCAAAAATCCCAAGCTGTATATAACTTTAGAATGGAACTAGATGATAGAGAATATTAATTTTAAATTATTTATTACATTCACAAAAATGACAAATCTTTGAAAGATGAAGAACAACATATATTTTAAAATTTATTTAGTGGTTTTAATTTATAAGCGATAATTGCTTATCCTACATGCTAAATGAATATGTGAGGAAGAATATTGCCTCAGATTATAGAAATATCCAAAATTATAAAAGCACTGCTATATAACTCCATTACTATCTAGGCAAGTGAGAAATTACACAAATTATATCTGCCAAGGTATACTCACAGCCTTTATGCTGTATGGTTATGTTCAGGAATGGAATGTTACTAGGTGTATTTTCTTTAAACTTTCCTTTTCAGCTATGTATTAGAGCATACTATATTCAATTTGTTCATAAGGGAAATAAGCTAAAAAGATCTCCTCCTTTCTATATCATTGGCTGTTTCATACCATCTATGCCATAGATAAACACCAAATTCCTTGTGTTTTTTCCCCCAGTAGGCAGGACGCAAGGAAATCATGGTCTGAGACATCCCTTGAGAGAAGTGTTACAATATCATCAGCCTTGAGACTTGAGCCTTGAGCCTTGGAAATATGCCGTCTACCTTGAGACATCCACAAAGATTCCCTGAGGACTTTCCTATGGAGAGAGTCAGAGTACACTTCCCTTGGGGTCAAAGGAAGAAGAAAGCAACTGTGGGAAGTATTAGAAATGTCTTCACAGGAACTGAAGGAATTCTTCCTAATTGGCTTCATTAGCCGCCACTACACATGATATTCACACTTTAAAAATGATTGCAGAATTGTATCCCTCCATATTTCAGCCACCACAAGTATGGCCAGAAGAATGTATTCTCTAGGATACAAAATACAAACTAGATCATAATTAAAAAGTCTTCCTTTTTAATAACAGAGCACAAAACAAACAAAACAAAAAACAACACTGGTTTGGCATTTCTTTCTAGCAAGTGACTCAACTGAAAAAGCATTAACCAAGTGTGCGTGGAAAACAGTGCTGCCCACTATAGTAGATACCAAGATTGAGTCATTTCACAAAAGGTTTATGTGCAGCAGCATATTGAATATGTGCAGATGGTATGAAAGTCTGACAAATCTTGGTATTGGAAGAGAAGGAAATGAAAATCTAGAAGACTAAGTAAAATAAATCTAGATGATATTGTTGACACAAATAATCCGTAACCAATCTATAAATCAAAACTGGAGTGAGTTTATTATGAGCCAGATCTGAGGACTAGCCCAGAGCCTTTCTTCCCCAAGGAAGGGCATCAAAGAAGTGGGGTGCACGGAGTGGTTCTATACCATCTTGGAACAAAGAGCATGCATCACATATGACAGGAAGGTCCCATTTACAATTGTTATGAGATGCTTATTTGGTACAGCAGATCAGTGGTCAGGAGGTCAGTGGTCATAAGGTGAGCACAGCAGGTCAATAATTAATCCTTAGTTGTGGGAGAGATGCTTACCCTAAAGGAAATGTGGATATTGGGAAAGTTACATCCCTATTTTTAGGGGCATCATTCTTGTCTTTGGGGCATAGTAAATATCAAAAGCAGATATACAAATGTGCTCAACTGATCACATAAGGCCCTTTTGGAAAAACAAGGTCAGGCCAAATTAGTTTTAAACCGAATGTCTTGCTCACATACTCCAATATATCCTATTGCTTACCATTTATTTATCATTTTCCCCCTTTTGATCTATAATCTTTTGATAAAAGCATTGATGATTAAAATATTGTCCCTCGGTGCCAATGTTGTTGCTGCCTGCCCTGGGTCCATCATCTCCCTCAGTGCCAGGCTCTTATCTCATTCATTTGTCCAGTTGTCCACATCGGGGGGAAATAATTGGCTATAGTGGACGAGCATAGAGGTATACATATATTAACAGAGGAAGCATTTCATAGGTTTTTGACTAATTTTAGGTTGTTGCACAAACATAGCACAAATATAAAACAGTGTTTTTACCTGACTCCTTATGTTCACATTGTTTACAATTATAAAAGATTCATTTAAGACATGCATCTGCTTTTTCATGTGCTTTAGCAGATACAGTTAAAATATCTAAGCCCATTCTATTTTGAAGGACAGTCTTTTTCATTAAAGACATTTTAGTAATTAATAAAGGTATTTCTGTTTGACTATCATTAAGGGAGTATTGAGTAAATTTAGTCAGGGCTTCTATATGTGATATGACATTCTCTAGTCCCAAAGAAGGAACAAATATAGCTAGCCACTAGGTGACCATGCCAGTGGAACACTGAATGAGCCCATCTGGCCTTAAAGAGAAGAAGATGGGCAACAGGTGTTAGCTCAGTGTGAATCCTTTCCTGCATCCAAGAGAAGCCCAGGATGCAGTGTTTTAGCCATCCAGGCAGTAGCCAAGGCCAAAGCTTTGTTCCACACAAACACTGAGTTTATTAGGAGCCACCTGGCAAACGCCTAGCCTTCGAGACCAGTCTGTTCCAAATCAATCAATTTCTTTAAGTATGATAGTATTCTGAAAACCTTAAATGGAACAATTATAAAATAGGTATACAGTTTAAGCATAACACAGGTTTAAATGAGGAGATATAAGGTTGGGAATACAGCCCTGGTCCAGAGTCTTGGGACAGCTGTCTAAAATAGATGCCATCTTCTCATCCTGGTTTGGAGATATTTGCGTTGGTCAAAGTCAGGTGTCAGAGACAGGCGTTGAAATCTACTTAGGCACAGGAGCCTTTTTAAATGAGAAACATGTATCCATGGGTAGATGACTTTTGATTCTGCAGCACATAAATTGTTTAAAAGCAGCTTTCCAATAGGGCTGCAAAGAGTCTTCTATTTGATGCCTCTTCTGATAAATAAATTTTCCAGGTTATAGTTCATGATCCTTAAGGTCTTCATTTCCTGGGAGCTCACTGTGAAAAGAATCACCTACCAATCTCTCATTTCTTTTAAGTGTCTCAATGAGACCTTGACAATAATGTAAAATATCCCCTTTAAGTAAAGTTGATTCATACGTTCCTTCATCTAATTGCATAGGCCATCCAATTATTATTTCAAGAGAGAACAGCCAATGTTTACCAAAGGTGTAGAACTAACATTGAGAAGCACCAGCGGAAGAGCTTTTGGCCCTGAGAGATTAAATGCTTCTGAAAGCTTTGCCAATTGAGTTTTGATTGTGCCGTTAGTTAAAATGTTGCATTAATGGCCAAATGTCACAAATAGATTTAATTACTTGTCCAGTGAAATGAGTTTCTCACTCACTATGCACCACAGTAGGAACTCCTCAAACAGGAATTATCCTTTCCAATAATAATTTACCTAAAGCTGTCACTCTTCTGTAAAGAAAGGCCTCAACCCGATGTGAGAACACACAGATCATTACAAGATATAGTTATATCCTTGAGATGGTGGCATTTGGACAAAGTCCAATTGCCATACCTTAAAGGGTCCCTGAGGAAAGGTAAAGTGGCCTTGTGATTTATGAAATAGTTTCCCTAGATTACACGTTGGGCAGATACCATGAGTGTAGGCTTTATGAGCCACTGTGGGAGAAAGTTTCCAAAAGTATTGTTTTCCCCCATTCTTGCCACCCTTATTTCTCTTCTTCTGTGGTGATTTCTTGAGTGTGTAGAAGGAAATATTTTACAGGGTTAGCAGACTTAATAGAAAGTAGCAGGCATTTTAGAGGCTGCACAGCATATCCAGCTTGATAACATCCTTGCTTGTTGTTTAAGTCAGACCCGTCTGTAAACCAATTTAGACAATAGAATGCAGTCATGATCTTTTTCTCTTGTGATGTTGGAAGCAAGGTAGCAGGGTTAAGATAGTGAATAATGTTTACCAATATAAACCTAAGAAGATTTATCATCATTTACTTGACAGTGCTGCCCATGCAATTTAGCATACTAAAAAGCCTAATTAGTATCTCTCTCGATAGGAAGAGAGAACAAATTTCTTTGAGAAGTTTCAAGAGCACTTTGAAAATTCTCAAAGAAAGAAAAGTCAAAAGACGGGCTTTATTTAGGTATGAATTTTGTGGAGCTTGTCAAAAATATCAAAATGTTTTAAAAGACTTGGTCAGAGAAGATCAAGGAGTTTCTGATCTTCTCATTATGAAACAGTGCTTAGCTACTATTCAAAGTGACAATAGAAATAGTCAAGAGCAAACAGAGCATTAAAATAGTCAAAAAAAAAAAAAAAAAAAAAACCTTGATAGACTTCAGTCTTTTTCAACATAGATAATTATCTTCACAAAACATAGATCTCTGTCCTTTAAGTAAACTTACTCAAAGACAAAGGAAAGCCTTTTATAACTTCTTTAACAAGAGCAGGCTAAGAGTTTAAGAAAACTAACCCTTTTAAGAGATAAAGAAAACCAAATTCTAATTTTTGTACCAGCCATACTTCTGATATTAAAACTTATTTACTTAAATTTATTTTAATTTTAGCCAAATTGACAATGCATAAAACTTTTTCCTCAGTGTTTCTCTTCACAAACCTTCTATAATTTTATTTTTAGATTCATAATTTGTCCCATGCCTTTCTTTTATTTCCCCCCAGTACTTTAGGACAAATTTATCTTTCTTAATAAAACAAAAATATTTCCATTCTTTATACCTTCTTTACTGAAAACATACATCTTTCATTGAATACAAAGATTTTTTTTAATTAATTTTTAGTAACTTTCATCACATATATTCATTCGAATTTTTAACCCTCATAGACCTTAACTTCTAGTGCAAACTAAGAAGTAAGTAGTTATAAACTGTCTTTTACATTGGTATTCTGTGGCTTGGCAAATTTATAAATACTTTTTATAATTTCTAGAAATATGCTACTGCATAGTACAAACTTTTAATAAAATACAAGACATATTTTGAATAGACTCAAACTTAGTCTATTAAAACTTTAGTTTCCCTATAATAAGAAGTCAAAAGTAGATAAACTTATACATTCAGTGATAATGTTTCAGTATGTTATTTTATTTGAAAATGACCCAGATATCCAACAAGTTTTTTTTTTTTTTTTTTTTTTGGTGACAGATACCATTTTTTGTTTATTGCAGTAACATTGGTTTATAACATTGTATAAATTTCAGGTGTACATCATTATACTTCTATTTTTTGCATAGATTACATCATGTTCTCATGTTCACCACCCAAATACTAATTACAATCCATCACCACACACATGTACTTAATTATCCCTTTCACCTTCCTCCCTCCCGTCTTCCCTTCTGGTAACCACCAATCCAATCTCTGCCTCTATGTGTTTGTTTGTTGTTTTTATCTAATACTTAATGAGTGAGATCATATGGTATTTGACCTTCTCCCTCTAACTTATTTAATTTAGCATAATACCCTCAATGTCCATCCATTTTGTCACAAATGGCTGGATTTCATCATTTCTTATGGCTGAGTAGTATTCCATTGTGTATATATAACACATCTTCTTCATCCATTAATCCCTTGTTTGGGCACTTAGGTTGCTTCCAAGTCTTGGCTATTGTGAATAATGCTGCAATGGAGGGGTGCATGTATCTTTGTGCATTGGTTTTCTCATGTTCTTTGGATAAATACCCAGCAGTGACTAGCTGGATCATATGGTAGTTCTATACTTAAGTTTTTGAGGAGTCTCCATACTGTTTTCCTTAGTGGCTGCACCAGTTTGCACTCCCTCCAGCAGTGTATGAGAGTTCCCTTCTCTCCACATCCTCTCCAACACATGTTGTTTCCTGTCTTGTTAATTATAGTCATTCTGACGGGCGAGAGGTGATATCTCATTGCAGTTTTGATTTGCATTTCCCTGATAGTTAATGATGTTGAACATCTTTTCATGTGTCTGTTGGCCATCTGTATATCTTCTTTGGAGAAATGTCTGTTCAAGTCTTTTGTAAATTTTTTAAATCAGGTTGTTAGTGTTTTTGTTGTAGAGATATATGAATTCTTTATATATTTTAGATATTAACCCCTTATTGGATATATGGTCTGCAAATATTTTCTTGTCTTTGGGGCATAGTAAATATTTAAAGCATATGTACAATGCATGCTCAACTGGTCACATCAGGTCCTTTAGGAAAAATAAGGTCAGGCCAAATTAGTTTTAAACCAAATGGCTTTCTCGTATACTCCAATATATCCTATTGCTTACCATTTATTTATCAATATCAACATATGTGTGGTGATAAGGAAATTTACTATGTATTTGAGCTTGTTCAAATTATTCAAGGAAAAAATCTTTTGTTCAGCATATTGTTTTGTGAACATTGGTTATCCTACGTGTAAAAAACAATAAAAACTCAATCCTTATGCATAAATGCTAAGTAAATCAAATATTTATCCATTAGAAAGAAATTGAAACCCAGGGGCTATCAAAGATGGATTGCAGATCACCAAGAGATTTTTGAAAATGTGTGAAAGCATTTTCCTTGCAGTTACCTGGGATGTTGGTAGCATGTATTGATACGAGCAGTAGGAATGCTAATTATCTAAGGATGTTAAATACAACACTCTAGGTATTAACAGAAATCTCATTGAGAATCACTGTCCTAAAGGAAATAGGAAATGATAAATTTTAAATAAACTTTTGGAGGTATAATTGACATATGACAAAATAGATCTATTTTAATTACAAAGTTTAATGAGTATTGACAAATGTATACATACATGTAACTACAACCATAATCAAAAAATATTGAATTCTTATCTACTGTAGAGTTTCCTCATGCCCCATGCACTCAATTTAATTCTCCCCTTAGACCCAGGCAATTACTACTCTCCTTTTTTCTCTGTAGTTTAGATATACTTTTTCTAGATTTTCATATATACAGAATCATAAAGCATAAATTCTTTAGTGTCAGGTTTCTTTCATCTACCACCATGAGTTAGAGATTCATCCATGCTGCTGAGAGTTTTGTAAGTCTGATCTTTTTCACCGCTGAGTTATATTTCTTTGATCAAATATACCAAAATTTAATCATCCATTTACTTGTTGATAGATAATTAGATTCTTTCTTATTTGGGGTCAATAAGAACAAAATTTCTTTGAACTTTCACGTAAAAATCTTTGTCACAGAAATCTTCCCTTTTCCTTGAATAACTAGCAAGAAGTGCAATTGTTAGGTTATGAGGTAAGTGTCTTAATAAGAAATTACCATAAATTTTCCAAAGTGACTGCAACATTTTACATTACCATCAGCAGGGATGAGGGCTCCATTCTCCACATTGTAATCAATGGTTGACATTGTCTTTCTTAAATTTCAGCCATTGTAGAGAGTGTAGAGTACAACTCATGTCTCACTTTCCATTTTTCTGATAACTAATGATAGCATGTTTTCATGTGTTTACTAGCCATTTTTAAGAAACTTATGTCAGGTGTTCAAATGTATGCATTTGTAATGGGATTCTTTTTTCTTATATTATTGCATTGTACTACTTACATATATATATTTGGGTGTGTGTATTTTGTCTTCCAGTTTTTTACTTGCTTTTTTATTCCCTTAATAATGTTTTCTAAAGATCAAAAGTTTTTAATTTTCATGAAGTCAGTATTATCATTTTTATCTTTCATGGTTTATGCTTTTTGGTATTTGTCTTATATAACACTGAGACAATTCTAAGTTT